CGTGTTCAACTGTCCCCCTCTTACAATGCTGTTATTGCTAGTATCACTCAACCCCCTGTGAATAGTAAACAGCCATCAGGTGCTAATGATCCATTGTTAGGCTGATGGTCCTTCTTGACCATGTGAGCAGCTGGTTTTGGTTGTCAGCCGCAAAACTGGTTGATCCACTCTGAGAAGGTGCTATTTAAGAGACTGAGCTGAATACAGCACCTCAGACTGAGGAAGTCTTTCAGATGAAAGATGAAACATTTCTACATTTTTTTGCTTTGTTTTGTTTTTTTTGAATGTCCAGAGGACCAGATTGAACTTTTTGGATAAAAAGAGTTGTAAGCAATCATCCAGTAAGCAACATAAAGCAATACAAAGTATATTACAAATATTATATAAGGTAAACAAACATCTCACATGAGGTACACAGAGAGCATGACTTTGCTTATTAGCTTTAACAGCACACTACATGCAACTTGATTTATGCATGACTAAAATATACATTAATACCCAGACTAAATGATATGACATCAATAGGCTTACCTTCTGTCATCCACAAACAGCAGTAAATCAGGAAACCAACAACAGATGCTCAAAAAACAAAACTATGTCCGTGTTGGGAGAGAAAAATACTTTACTATACGTAGCAGTGAAATTTACACACAACAGTGCATCAAACCAGCCATGATGCATTCAATAATGTAGGAATCATGAAATTCAAAAAAAAAAAAACAAGCTACAGTCAAAGAGAATTAGCTCAGCAAGCAAATTAACCACATATAAACAATGTGGGCATTACAGCATTTTTCAGTCAGGTCATCTGGACAGTTTCTTTTTTTTTTTGTGCTGAAATGTTTCACCTTCCATCCGGAAGGCTTCATCAGTCAAGGAAACACACAACACAAAACTGATTCTTCCCCCAACAGCTTACTCCAAAGTGGAACAAACCAGTTACATTGGTGCTAAGATGGTCTCTTTGGCACGCCCCCTCCTCCGTTGCTGGCCCTGTTCCTCGTCGACAGTCATGTCGTACTGGTTCAAAACAATGTGGGCTTTCTAACAAGAATCATATAAAAATCATTACAAAAAAAAATCCACTTAGGGGGCTCCCTAGTGGCTCGGGGGCCCTAAGCAGCCACTTATGATGCCGAACCTAGCTCCCACCTAGGATTCTCTGATCATATGTCCATCTTCCTGGCTCCTGCTTTCCTCCCCCCGCTGAGATGCTCCAGACAGGTACAAAAAAAAAGTTAAATTTTGGATGCAGAAAAGCAGCCCCATAAGGAAAGACTGTTCTGAACGCACAAACTGGCAGGTCTTCAGAGAAACTTCTGAAAATGAGGGGGCGCTAGACCCAGAACAATACACATCCTCAGTTCTGGGGTACATTAGTAAATGTGCTGATGACATCAGCACCATCAGATATGTTAAGAGTTATGCGAACAGGAAGCCTTGGCTGAATACAGAGGTTCGCACCCTGCTGGTAGCCAGGAACACTGCCTTCAGGTCCGGAAACTCACAGGAGCTGAGAAGAACAAGGAAAGAGCTGGTTGCTGGTATAAGAGGACCAAAGCTACATACTGTGTACAGAAGATCCAGGGTCAATTCACCTCACAAGACCCATGGAGCATATGGAGGGGCATTAAGTGTATAACATATTATAAATGCAGCACTGAACAATGCCCTAGGGACCCATCACTTCCTGATGCCCTCAACAAGTTCTATGCATGCTTTGAAGACCTGAACAGACCACCCAGCATCAGACTCACCTCACCACCGGATGAAGAGCTTCTCAGCGTGACCTCAGCCTAAGTGAGGAGTACTTTCAGGAGAATTAATCCTCACAAAACAACCGGCCCGTGGTGCTGAAAGACTACTGATCAGCTCTGCGAAGTGCGGGCCAACATGAGTCCTCAGTCCACTCCTGTACTCACTGTTCACACGACTGTACCGCCAAGCACAGCTCTTAAGATCCTCCTCAAGTACGTTGATGATACCACCATCCTGGCCTCATCACCAACAACGACGAGGTGAAATCACTGACCAGCTGGTGTCAGGAAAATAACCTCTCTCTAAATGTCAGCAAAACAAAGGAGATGATAGTGGACTTCAGGAAACAGAGTGGAGGTCAGCACTCCACCATCTACACAAACAACACTGAGGCGGAGCAGGTCAGCAGCTTTAAGTTCCTCGGTGTTCACGTTACAGAGGATTTGTCCTGGACTTTACATACAAACACAGTGGTCAAAAAAGCCCGACAAAGACTCTACTTACTAAGAAGACTAAAAAAGTTGGGTACAAACACCAGCATCTTCACCAACTTTTATAGGTGCACCACTGAGAGCCTGCCGACAGGCTGCATCACAGGGTGGTACATGAACTGCACAAGTCAGAGCTGGAAAGAACTACAGAGGGTGGTGCAAACAGCAGAGGACATCACTGGTAGCAGTCGCACACCATCCAGTCAGCGGTTAATTTGAGCCGGATCCTGCCGGAACAAGATCTGGGAACTCCCTCATTTTCACCGTGTGTTCCGGCAACTGTTCACTCGGATCCGTCAGCTCATATCTCCGCCCATAAAAGTCATTGCACAATTTTATTTTGATTATTTATTAAAAATACAACAAGAGGAGACGTTGTCCATGTCTGTGGTGTGGATGTTACTGCTGCAGCAGGTGCAAAAGCTTGCGCACACGCTGCTGCCAGCAGAGACGCTGACCGCATGTCCCACAGGGATGACGCGTCTTCATCCACCTTCAGCTGTGTCTCAGAAACCAAAGCAGCACAAACGAACATTTTAACGGCACAAACCAGCACAAACGTAGCACTAAACACTCATTGTGTTTACTAGAATTTTTGACGTGGGTGGGGCGTCAGCTTCACCTGCAGACAGTGCACGTTTTATGCACAGGAGCGTCTCCAGACAGCTCTGCAGAGCGCACACAACTGCCAATGTGTCAGAACTCCTGCATACATTTCAAAGATAATAAATAATAAAGCTTCTAGTAAATAAAATACAATTGAAATATTTATTGTGTGTCATTCACATCAAGTTTCAAATTTGTCAAAATAACAGGATCAAAACGTTAAAAAGACAGTCCGATTTATTATGTAAAATAAATGAATGATTGTCCTCAGCTGGACAACAGAGAATTGAAGCAGTGGTAATAGAGACTGGAGCAGAGCAACGCGCAGGACTGAGAAGAGTTTGGGTCGGACATTGGAGTTTGTGTGTGTGTGTGTCGGGGGGGGGGGGGGGGGGACGCTTGACAGAATCGGAGCTCTCTGCTCTCTAAAATAGCAATTTCAATTTAACCTATATATATACAGGTTGTTGGTCTCATTGAGCCTCGTCATTTCTGTTTTTAATCAAATGTTTACAGGTTATTTTTGTTGTTTTTCTGAAACGTTTCACCTTCTATCCGGAAGACTTCATCAGTCAAGGAAACACACAACAGCTTGATATGACTGTCGACGAGGAAGAGGGCCGACACAAGAGGAGGGGGCGTGCCAAAGACACCATCTTAGCACCAACATAACTGGTTTGTTCCACTTTGGAGTAAGCTGTTTGGGGGAAGAATCAGTTTTGTGTTGTGCATTTCCTTGACTGATGAAGCCTTCTGGATGGAAGGTGAAACATTTCAGTAAAACAACAACAAAAAACTGTCCAGATGACCTGACTGAAAATTGTTGGATTGTATACCTGGATTATTGAGCGTGGACTATTTTTTGGTTTGTTCTGATTTCACGTCAGACAGTGTGAAAAAAATGCAGTCTTTTTAAATAGTGTATGTAAACTTCTGGTTCCACCTGTATATGAATGTTTCTGTTCAGTGCAGATGACTTCTGCTGTGAGGTGGCGCAATCTAAATGAACTGAACTGAATTGAATCTTGGTTTAAAACTCTGGCATGAAAGGTGGCGGGTGATATGCATTCCTTTGAGGAACACTGGACCTTTTAATTTATCAGTTGCTGTGAACAGGCTTTGACAAATGCTCGGGGTCACAACACAAACAACTGCTGTCTACAGAAATCCAAAGGACAGTCTAGGAGTTTAAACTTCTGCTGACTCACTATGTTCTTTGACCTTTGATGTCTTGATGACAGTAAGGTTTGGATGGCTTCAGACTTTTACATTTAAACGATGAAAGTGAAGTTGTGTTCAGCCCGTCTCCAGCTTGTTCACAATGCTGCAGCTCGGGTCAACAGGTTTGAGATTTCAGATCAGCTGCTTCTGGTCGTTCTAAAAACCAGGTTGAAACTCAGATTGAGATTTTTCAGTTGTGGTTCCTAAACTTTGGAACAATCTGCCCCAACATTAGACTGACCCTTTCACTCCGTTTAAAGTTGTTTTAGTAATTCATTGTTCCGTCTTTTTTCTTCTGATGCTTTTAAATTTAGTTTTTTAATCTCTGCCTTTCTCTTTCATTGTTCAGCACTTTGGTAACAACCCGTTTGTAAGTGTGCTTTATAAATACATTTGACTTTGACCTCTTGCAGGGGTGGCACGGTGGCTCAGTTGGTAGAGCTGTTGCCTCTCAGCTAGGTCGCCAATTCAAATCTCAGCCGGAGACCATTTTGAGCAGTTTGCATGTTCACTCTGTGCTGCGTGGGATTTCTCCAGGTACTCTGGTTTCCACAGACCAAAACATGCATGACTGACTGGTAACTCGTCCCTAGGTGTGAGTGAGAGAGTGAATCGTTGTTTCTCGTTTGTCTCTGTGTGTCCCTGTGATGGACTGGAGACCTGTCCAGGTGTCCCTGTGATGG